GGCACTTCCCCAGTCTCCCGAGTCCCGCAGGACGGGTTCAATCCCACTGTGAATAGTTTGCTCGACACTGCCCCCCTAGGAGCATTCGGAGCGGTGCAGGAAAGGACATTGCGGTCACTGCTTTGTGTGACCACACCGGGCTGCCGCGACGGGGAGACTGCTTGCCTGCCCATGCAGGGGGACTGTTGGCCAGGCCTGCACCTGGACAAAGCACAGCCTCAAGAAGTCCTCCTGCAGTTGCCACCGCTTCCAGGAAGGCAGAGGAATCCTGCCCTCACGCCTGGGCCTGGGCCGTAGCTAACATGGGGCCCGCGGGGCCTGCCCCCCTGGTGTTTCTTCTGGGCCCCCTCAATCCTGGGCTGCCCCCAAAGTGCTCCAACTTACCACCTGCACTGTACTTTCATTTAATTAGCTGGCCAGCCTCCCGAGGCCCCCTCCCAAAGAATTCCCTAGCTATGGGGCTGGCTGGGCCCTGGCACCTCCCTCTCTGCAGTCAGGCCCGATGCAACTGGTAGGAACTCCATGCAGTGCGTTTGGCAGGGCTGTGTTGGACAACAGGGCACCACCCCTGGGGGCTGTGGATGGTGGAGAGTGTCTGAGCATGTGCAAAGTGCCAGCCACTCTACATTGCATGCAGTTGGGCCTTCTCCCACCCCAAATCAAGTCTTCGCATAGGAATTCTCTAAGATTTTTTTTTTTATTAGAAAAAAAGAGTTGGTTTTATACCCCACCCTTCACTACCCAAAGGATTCTTGGAGCAGCTTACAATCTCCTTCCTGTCTTCTCCCCACAACAGACTCCACCCTGTGAGCAGTGTTCCCTCTACGCTGAGTGAGTGTGAGCTAGCTGACAGTTTTTTAGCCCCTGGCTCCCAGATTTTTGTCTTTGCTCAGAGCAAACTAATTGATGCAGCAGCCAAATCGCTCGCTCCCAACTTTAATACCAGTAGCTCACAAAGTAGAATTTTTGCTCACAAGTCTCCGCAGCTTAGAGGGAGCATTGCCTGTGAGGGAGGTGGAGATGGGAGAACTCAACAAACTGCTCTTGAGACAACAGCTCTGAGAGAACTGGGAGTGACCCAAAGTCACCCAGCTGGCTGCACGTGGAGGAGTAGTGGAAAATCAAACTGGGTTCTCCAGATTAGAATCCGCCACTCTTAACTACTACCCCAAGCTGGCTCTCAAACATAAGTCAGTCTCATGAGGGCACGTCTTCACAAATATTACATTTCTGATGTTCTAGCAATCAGAATCACAGGTGTCAGGTGCCCAAAGGCCATCTAGTTATCGCCAGGAGCAAGGCTGAAACAGAAGCACACATCCCCTGCCCCGCCGCCGCCTCCCTGTAAAGCCCAGGTGGCGGAGATGAAATGCTACCTGAAGCCATCCCTGGGCCAGGTTTCACTAGCCAAAGCCCACTTGATCAGGGGCACAGTGTTCCGTTCACTTAGCAGAGACTTATAAAAGTAAAGGTTTCCCTTGCTCGAAAGCCAGTCGAATCCGACTCTAGGGGGCGCTACTCACCTCCGTTAACAAGCTGAAGAGCCAGCACTGTCCGAGGACGTCCCCGTAGTCATGTGGCCGGCGTGACTAGATGCCGAGGCGCACGGAATGCTGTTTACCTTCCCACCGAAGCGGTCCCTATTTATCTACTTGCAATTTCTTGCTTTCAAACTACTAGGTTGGCCGGAGCTGGGACTAGAGACTCGAGCTCACTCCGTCACGCGGCACTCGGGTCTCAAACTGCCCAACTACCGACCTTCCAGTCTGCAGTTCAGCGTCTTAACCACTGAGCCACCACAGCCCCCTAGAGAGACTTATACCGAGGGTGGGGGAAAAAATGTCAAAAAGGATGGGTGGCAGGAGGCGGGGGGGATTACAAAGACTCCAAGAGGGCCAGTATCCCAGGCCAATGAGTGTCATAATCTACCCGCAGAGCACCAGTGGAAGCGAGAGCCAATCGGGACCTTACGCAGCCATTGACTTGGCACCGCGGGGCGAACCTCTGCTAAGTGATGGACAGTGGAGGATGTAGCCCACTCCCGCTGGGTCTCGATCTCTTCATAAGAACATAAGAACATAAGAGACGCCAATGTTGGATCAGGCCAAAGGCCCATCCAGTCCAACACTCTGTGTCACACAGTGGCCAGAAATACCAGTGCCATCAGGAGGTCCAGCAGTGGGGCCAGGACATTAGAAGCCCTCCCACTGTTGACCCCCCCCCCAAGCACCAAGAAGACAGAGCATCACTTGCCCCAGAGCCCCTAGCTATACCTTGTGGCTAATAGCCACTGATGGACCTCTGCTCCATATGCTTATCTAATTCCCTTTTGAAGCCGTCCATGCTTGTAGCACCCCCCACTTCCTGTGGCAGTGAATTCCATGTGTTAATCACTCTTTGGGTGAAGAAATACTTCCTTTTATCCGTTCTAACCCGACCGCTCTGCAGTTTCATGGAGTGCCCACGAGGTCTTGTATTGTGAGAAAGGGAGAAAAGTACCTCTTTCTCTACCTGCTCTTTCCCATGCATAATCTTATAAACCTCGATCATGTCACCCCTCAGTCGTCTTTTCTCCAAGCTAAAGAGCCCTAAGCGCTTTAACCTTTCCTCATAGGGAAAGTGTTCCAACCCTTTTATCATTCGAGTTGCCCTTTTCTGCACTTTTTCCAAAGCTATAATATCCTTTTTAAGGTGTGGTGCCCAGAACTGCACACAGTATTCCAAATGAGGTCTCACCATTGATTTATATAGGGGCATTATTATATTGGCTGATCTGTTTTCAATACCCTTCCTAATAATCCCCAGCATAGCATTGGCCTTCTTTATTGCAGTCACACACTGTCTCGACATTTTCAGTGAGTTATCCACTACAACTCCAAGATCTCTCTCTTGCTCAGTCTCTGCCAGTTCAGACCCCATCAATGTGTATTTATATTTAGGATTTTTGGCTCCAATGTGCATCACCTTGCACTTGGCCACATTGAACCCCATTTGCCATGTTGACGCCCACTCGCCCATCCTTGACAGATCCCCTTGGAGTGCCTCACAATCCTCACTGGTTTTCACCACCCTGAACAACTTTGTATCATCCGCAAATTTAGCCACTTCACTGCTTACTCCCATCTCCAAATCTTCGGACTGGGCCTTGTTTTCACCTGTGGTCGTCTTTTTTCACCTGTGGTCTTCCTCGGGGAAGCTGGGCCCTCCTCGGTGTTCTTTGCATCCTCGCTCCCTCCCTGCAGTGGCAAATATCCCAGCCAACTAAATGTCGCAGGCATCTGATCAAGTGGGTTATCGGCCCACGGAAGCCTTTGTCACAAAAGGATATTTACAAGCTGGAACGTGTCCAGAGGAGGGCAATGAAGATGGTGAAGGGTCTGGAGACCAAGTCCTAGGAGGAGAGGCTGAAGGAGCTGGGTATGTGTAGCCTGGAGAGGAGACGACAGAGAGTGGATAGGATCACCATCTTCGACTTCCAGTACTTGAAGGGCTGTCATCTAGAGGATGGTGTGGAGATGTTTTGTTGTCCCAGAAGGTTGGACCAGAACCAACAGGTTGAAATTAAATCAGAAGAGTTTTCGGCTAAACATGAGGAAGAACTTCCTGACAGTTAAGAGCGTTCCTCAGTGGGACAGGCTTCCTCGGGAGGTGGTGGGCTCTCCTTCTTGGGAGGTTTTCTGAGAGAGGCCAGATGGCCATCTGACAACAATGCTGATTCTGTGAACTTGGGCAGGTCACGAGAGGGAGGGCAGGAAGGGTTGCCTCAGGGCTTAGTTCTCGTGGCCCTTTCTGGCACGCCTGGGGAAATGCCGATCGCCACTTTGGGGTCAGGAAGCAATTTTTCTCCAGGCCAGTTTGGCTGGAGATCCTGGAAGTTGTTTGCCCTCTTCTCGGCATGGAACAGGGGTCAATGGTGTGTGTGTTTGGGGGAGGTATTTGTGAATTTCCTGCATTGGGCAGGGGGTTGGACTAGATGCCAGTAGCTCACAGTGTAGCATTTCTGCTCACAAGACTCCACAGCTTAGAGGGAGCCTGGGACTAGCCAGGATCAAAGGGGTTATTTTTTGGTATTTTTTATATGTGCATGTGTGTGTGCGTGCGCACACCTGAAAGTCATGGCGCCCTCTGGTGACTGACCCCTTCTGGAGGCCTGGAGGAAATTCAGAGATGTGGCTGAAGAAAGCCCGCCCCCACCTCTGGTATTCCAAGGAGGTCTCCCATCCAAATACTAACCAGAGCCGACCCTGCTTAGCTTCCGAGATCTGATCATAGGGAACACTTTCCCTATGAGGAAAGGTTGCTTAGGGCTCTCTAGCTTGGACAAACGACGGCTGAGGGGTGACATGATTGAGGTTTATAAGATTATACATGGGATAGAGCAGGTAGAGAAAGAGGTACTTTTCTCCCTTTCTCACAATACAAGAACTCCTTGTGGGCACTCCATGAAATTGCTGAGCGGTCGGGTTAGAATGGATAAGAGGAAGTCCTTCTTCACCCAAAGAGTGATTAACACTTGGAATTCACTGCCACAGGAAGTGGTGGCGGCTACAAGCATGGACGGCTTCAAAAGGGAATTAGATAAGCATCTGCAGCAGAGGTCCATCAGTGGCTATTAGCCACAAGGGATAGATAGGGACTCTGGGGCAAGTGATGCTGTGTCTTAGGGGGGGTCAACAGTGGGAGGGCTTTTAATGTCCTGGCCCCACTGCTGGACCTCCTGAGGGCACCTGGTATTTCTGGCCACTGTGTCACACAGAGTGTTGGACTGGATGGGCCTTTGGCCTGATCCAACATTGGCATCTCTTATGTTCTTATGACTTGCCTGGGCTACCCAGGACAGGGCTGGATCAAGGTATTCTTGAACTGGGTCAGCGCTTTGAACGGCAGAAGACCTGCGGCTAAAGATCAGGCGTGACGGCTGCTGCTCCGTTATTTTCGGCTCCGCTCTCACAGCGGAATCGGCTTTCAAAGACGACGACGGAGGCCCTCGCTGCTCTTCAATAAAAGGGCCGCACACCCGCTGAACGACACCCTCTTTATTCAAAAATATATTTATCAGACATTTCAGAATATACTGCTGCTTAAATGGCAGCCTATACCGCTAAGTTTGTCTCTAAATCAATTCACATATAGATTTTACGAAAACGCTTTGATCTTGAGACAACCCCCCCCCCCCGAGTGCCCGACACACCCTCCCTGACCAGGTGAATCAAATTAAATTTGCAAGGTTTCAGTTATGTTAAAATAAAGCATAAAAACATTTTGCAGGGGAGGGGGGGGGGGAGAAACCCAGAAGCCATTGCTATTTCTTCAAACTCCGAATATTGTACTCACAGCAAAAGTCACTCAAACAATCCCACTTGGGATGCCCGGACCCGTGTGTTTACCCTAAACTTCCTGTTCGTCTAGAAATGAGACAGAGTCACAAAAAGCCGCTTTTCATGGGGAGACCACCGCAGACTGGAGGCTCATTTTCAGAGCCCCCCGGATAGAAAGGTGGCTTCACGAAAGCCCCTGGACAACACAGTGGTGCCGTGTCTCTGAAACCAACCTGGGCGGACTTTCTTCAGAGGAGACATGCGTCTTGTGGCCTCAACAGGGAAGGAAATTTTCAGTTTAAAACTCAAAAGACTGGATGCACTGTGCCTTGGGGAAGGAACACATTTGTCCCAGCGGCATTTGGCAAAACTTGACACAGACGGCCGGGCGCTTGTGGGCACGACGAAGGAAAAGCCCATCGGATCCCATCCGTGCCTGGGGAAGGTCAACTCCCTCCTCTCAAGCCAGAGGGTGCTGGGACGTCTCTGGCAGTGGGCAGCCCGATGGCAACTTGTCCCTTACTTCAGGAGGGGAAATCCCCAGATAGAGCACGACCAGCCTCCGTGAACATAACATACAAATGACAGGTGCACGGATATTGCTACGGGTTGGTCAAGGGAGAGAAACAGCCGCTGTGAACCCAGACGGATCGACGCCAATCAACCACGGGCATTAACCGGCTGGAAAACTCCTCCGCACCCTCTTGCGCATTCCAGTGGGGCTGGACCCACGACTCTCTTGAGGATCGTGGCAACAAACAACTGGCCTCCTGCTAAAGTCTACAGATTAAATTTAGGCTATTTCAGAGCCGGGGCTGCTTCCGCGCTCGGACGCACGGCCGCGGCAGATTGAGAGGGTGAGGGGAGACGACTGGGGCCCAAACCCAGACAAAAGGGGAACCTGAGCGAGACCGCCCATGGAGGAGCGCGGGCCCATGTGCAGCATGGCAAGGGGGAACGCGCACTCGCCTCACGGTCACGGGGACGTGTTTTGGTTGCTTGTGGCCCTGCACGCCGCAAAGGGACACAAGCCACACCCAGCCGGGGTCATCCGTGAAGCGGAAGTCCCGCCCCTTCCCTAAAAGGGATACAACTGGTGAGCCCCCCCCCCACCCGAAATCAAGGCTGACACAACACAAAACCGATTTAGAAAACCACCCGGTTCTTTTTTATACCGGGGTGGGGGGCAAAGCAGAAATTAACATTCTTTTTGCTGAAAAAAGTAGAAGCAGAGAGAGAGAGCGCGCGCGAGAGACACACACACATGATTCACAGGGTCTGCCGTAGAAACTGGATGTACTAAGGGGAGCCCCGTGTGAATGTGATCCTTTTTGTGTGCCAAATGCGAGAGAGGTGGCCTTCTTCCGAAGAACCGGTAGCCGCCCCCGCCCCGTCAACATGAGGGGCGGCACGCGCCGCGGAGAGGGTCGGAGGAGGGCCTCTGTCTGTTCCTTCCTGTGCCGGAGAGCGGGGAAGGAGGAGGATCTCCAGTCGTCCCGAGTAGTTCTGCTGGAAGGAGGGGTGGGAAGGGGTGGGAACGCGGACCCCCCGCGAGGGGCCTTAGTCAGTCGAGAACAGGTCCCCGGCGGACGGCAGTGGTGCCAACCCTCCTGTCACGTTGGGCAAGAGCGAAAGGTCGGGCAGGCTCTGGATGTGGGACTTGAGCTCCTTGCGGACCTGCGTGACCCGAGCCAGCTTCTGCTTGTACTCCTGCGGGAACCAAACACAGCAGAGGGTAGAGTTAGAGATGGCTTCTTTCCCCCTCGCCCCGCGTCTCTGGCAGCACAGAGAGGCGGGGGACCAGGAACACGACCGACAGACCCCTGGCCCCTCAAATCGCCCACCAAGCGTGAATCCCACCGCCAACCAAGGCTCCCTCTAAGCTGTGCAGCCTTGTGAGAACGGGCGCCATTTTTAAAAAAATCATTGATTCTGCGCATGCGCGAATAACCAAGGACGCAATATCATGCCTATGCGCATGCTCAAACTTTTTTGTTTTTTAAAAAGCCACTGCGCGCCCGTCTCATTTAGTGGACACCATCTAGACAATCCACAACGGAAGCAGCACACAGTAAGGCAATTCCCCCGGGGGATGTCCGGTCGTGCGAAAAGATCGGGATCAAATTTGAGCTGGCATAATGGTGGGATTCGCTGCCCCTCTGAACCCACCCAGGGAGGGTCAGTTCTCCTTCCTGACCACCAGGTGGCATCCCACAGAGATCCAGGTCTCCTGCTTAGGATCTTCCTGACTACCCCTGCCCTGTGGGAGACAAGAGACCAAGCCCATGTTTACTCGGCCGCAAATCCTACTTTGTTTAGTAAAGCTTCTTGCTGCTAAGGAAGTGTACATAGGGTGGTGGCCTTAATTTTGGAGTTAGGAGGTAGCGGGGGGGGGAATCTGCTTGGAAGGAGACCAACTTAGAGCATGGACATTAGGGCTGCCAACTCTGGGCTGGAAAATTCCTGGAGATTTGGGGTTGGGGCACAGGGGGGTCGGTAGCTCGGCAGTTCGAGACCCGAGTGCCGCGTGATGGAGTGAGCTCCCATCTCTGGCCCCAGCTCCTGCCAACCTAGCAGTTTGAATTGCAAGTAGGTAAATAGGCACTGTTTCGTTGGGAAGGTAACAGCGTTCCGTGCTCCTCGGCGTCTAGTCACGCCGGCCGCATGACCACGGAAAAGTCTTCGGACAGCGCTGGCTCTTTGGCTTGGAAAGGGAGATGAGCACCGCATCCCTAGAGTTGGATTCGACTGGCTTTCGAGCAAGTGGTCTCAGCAGGGACGCAATGCCATACAGCCTACCTGCCCCCACCCCCCGCCTCAAAGCCATTTTTCTCCAGGGAAACTGATCTCTTTCAGCTGGAGAACAGTTGTAATTCTGGGAGATCTCCAGGCCCGTCCTGGAGGTTGGCAAGCCAAATGTACAGACACAGGGCTGAAGCTGCTTGATACTAAGTCAGATCCTGGGTTTGCCCAGGTCAGTACAGTCTACTCTGCCCGGCAAAAGCTCCTTCATGTCACCAACTACCTGCTCCTTTTAGCTGGGGATGCTGGGGGTTGAACCTGGGACCTTCGGAATCCAAAGCCAAGGCCTCTGCCAATGAGCCAAACCCCCTCCCTTTGTGTCATGCAGGAAGGTTGAGATGTAAAGCAAAAACTGTCCTGAATGTCCATCTGCTGGTTTAGAAACCTGGGAAAAGCCTATTTTTTACATGTAGAGGAAGAGTTGGCTTTTATACCCCACCCTTCACTACCCGAAGGAGTCTCGGAGCGGCTTACAACCTCCTTTCCCTGCCCCTCCCTGCAACAGACCCCCTGTGAGGTAGGCGGGGCTGAGAGCGCTCTCTCGAGGGCTGCTCTTGAGAGAACACCTCTTGACAGAACGATGGCGTGCCCAAGGTCACCCAGCGGCTGCGAGTGGAGGAGTGGGGAATCAAACCCGATTCTCCCCGATTAGAGTCCCTGCACTTAACCACTACGCCCAACTGGCACAGAGTCAACAGCAGTTGTGGTGGATACTCTGCACATACTCTGCACAAACAGCACAGGACAGAGGAAGGCGTGGAAACGAACAGGGATGCTGGGCTGAGAGGGAGAAAGGAGTGCCTTGAAACGTCTACAGATGAGACAGGAAACAACTGGGCCTCCAACCTGATCACTGAGTGGGGAGAACAGGACGGAAGGGGGCACTCCTTCAGGGCATGTGGGGTGGAGTGGAGGAGAAAGAGGGCACATGGCAGGTGGGGAGGGGAGCGCACAGATCTCAGTCTACAAGTCTGGCTCAGCCCATCTCTGGCTTCCAGAGGGCCTTGCGCGCCTCCTTATGCCGAGGGAAATCCGGGCTTGCCTCCCAATCGATTATGTGTGCGTGTCAGCAAAAAGAAATGCCCCCAGATTTCAGTCACTACCCAGCTTGTCTCTGGGGCAAGCAGAGAGCAACAGAGAAAATTAACTGGGCCGGCCTCCGCATACACCAAAGCCCATCTGTTTTAAAAGCACACACACACACAGTGTTCTGTCTTGCATCAGCTACACATTCCGAAGTCCTCAGGTTTGTTGGGGAAGGACGTGAGGACTGTGTGTCACGTGCGCGATGGGACCCGTGCCTCATCCCTGTTGCAACCACAGCATGCAGGGAGAAGCGGCTTTCGTCAACCCTCCCCAGCCAGTTTGGTGTCGTGGTGAAGTGCGCGGACTCGAATCTGGGAGAACCGAGTTTGATTCCCCACTCCTCCACTTGCACCTGGCTGGATGACCTTGGGCAAGCCGTAGTTCTGACAAGAGCTGTCCTTGAAAAAGAGCCGTTTCTGTCAGAGCTCTCTCAGCCCCACCGACCTCCCAGGGGGTCTGTTGTTGTGGGGAGGGGGAGGGGAAGGAGTTTGTCAGCTGCTCTGAGACTCCTTTGGGTAGTGAAGGGTGGGGTATAAATCCAATCTCCTCCTCTTCTTCTTCTTCCCCATGTGCTGGTTTCACGTTTCTGCAAACAGAAAAGAGCAAAGCCGGTGTGTGTCTGGAAGGCACAGAACTCCCATTGGACGTGTGATACAAAATCCTTGTGTCTGGGTCCTGACCCGGGTAGCCCAGGCAAGCTCGATCTCATCAGGTCTCGGGAGCTAAGCAGGGCTGACCCTGGCAGGTATTTGGATGGAGACCTCCAGAGAATGCCAGGGCCGGGATGCCAGAGGCAGGCGATCAAGCTATTTCTCTGAACATCCTCCGGGTCCCGGGAGGAGTTGCCAGAGGTCGCCATGACTTCCAGGCACGGGCGCACACTCAAATGCTAAAATACCAAAACCAAAAATCCTTCTGTCCAGTGTTCCCTCTAAGCTGAGTTAGAGTGAGCGTGGCTCACAGTTTTTTAGCTTCTGGCTCACACATTTTTTGTCTTTGCTCAGGAAGGATGACTCTGGAGAGCAGACTAATTTATGCAGCAGCCAAATCGCTCGCTGACAACTTTAATGTCCGTAGCTCACAAAGTAGAATTTTTTCCTCACAAGACTCCAGAGCTTAGAGGGAGCATTGCTTGTGTCCGTGATGTGTAGAAGGAGCCTCAGTAGCACAGATTCTGCTTGGCATGCAGAAGGTCCCAGGTTCAATCCCCAGCATCTCCAAATCAAGGATCAGGTAGTAGGTAATGTGAAAGAACTCAACCAGCGTCTCCGGAGAGTCTCTAGCAGTCTAACCGGACTGGCCGGGAATGAGTAATTCAAACAAGCCGCGTGGGAAGAAACCCAAGAGCATCTGTCTGCCAACTTCATCATGCTTCCCTAGAGCCAGTCTGGTGTTGTGGTTAAGAGTGGCAGACTCTGATCTGGAGAATTGGGTTGGATTCCCCACGCCTCCTCCACGTGCAGCCAGCTGGGCCACAGAAGGAGCTAGAGTTGCAGGCCGCCAAAGGATCTTCGGACAAACAATCCTGGCTATACTACGCCGACTGCTGTACGATTATTATTATTAAACATAAGAACATAAGAGAAGCCAAATGTTGGATCAGGCCAATGGCCCATCCAGTCCAACACTCTGTCACACAGGGGCCAAAAATACCCGGTGCCCTCAGGAGGTCCAGCAGTGGGGCCAGGACACTAGAAGCCGTCCCACTGTTGCCCCCCGCCCAAGCACCAAGAATACAGGGCATCCCTTGCCCCAGACCGAGAGCTCCTATCTATGCCTTGTGGCTAATAGCCACTGATGGACCTCTGCTCCATATGCTTATCCAATTCCCTCTTATAAGAACATAAGAGAAGCCAGTGTTGGATCAGGCCAATGACCCATCCAGTCCAACACTCTGTGTCACACAGTGGTCAAAAATACCAGGTCCCATCAAGGGATCTAGAAGTGGGGCCAGGACACCAGGAGCCCTCCCACTGTTGCCCCCTCCCTCCCCGCAAGCACCAAGAATACAGAGCATCACTTGCCCCAGCCTGAGAGTTCCTCTCTATGCCTTGTGGCTAAGAGCCACTGATGGACCTCTGCTCCAGATGTTTATCTAATTCCCACTTATAAGAACATAAGAGAAGCCAATGTTGGATCAGGCCAATGACCCATCCAGTCCAACACTCTGTCATACAGGGGCCAAAAGTACCAGGTGCACTCAGGAGGTCCAGCAGTGGGGCCAGGACACCAGAAGCCCTCCTACTGTTGACCCCCCCAGCACCAAGAATACAGAGCATCACTTGCCACAGACCGACAGTTCCTATCTATATCTTGTGGCTAATAGCCACTGATGGACCTCTGCTCCATATATTTATCCAATTCCCTCTTGAAGCTGTCCATGCTTGTAGCCGCCACCACCTCCTCTGTGGCAGTGAATTCCATGTGCTCATCACTCTTTGGGAGAAGGACTTCCTTATTATGCTTCCCTGTCTCTTACACGCTCAGGGAAGGGGAAGCCACACACACACACACACACACACACACTCACACACACTGCACTCTACTAAGGAATTCTGAAGGGCAGAGGGGTTTGGAAGGGCACAAGAACCACAGAGGGTAGGTTGACATTATTTATTTATTTATTTCATTCAGCTTATATACCGCTCCTTCCCGAAGGCTCGGAGCGGTTTACAGAGAAGTATTTAACGTTTCTAACTAGGGCCACACAGTACAGGGAAGAAATGAATGCCTACCAGGCACCCGAGCAGGATGTGTTCATGGTAGAACATGAGACGCCAATGTTGGATCAGGCCAAAGGCCCATCCAGTCCAACACTCTGT